CATTCATTTCGGATGAGATCAAACGATTTCTTCATAAAAAAAAAGGTGTAGCCACCAGTCGGACCACTCCATAAAACCGAAGGGGGAACGGTCAGGTGGAAAGATTGAATGGAACTTTGTGGAAGGCTATTACGCTTTCATTACGATCAAAAGGTCTTCAAATCAGTCACTGGGAAACCGTTTTACAGGACGCTCTCCACTCGATTCGTTCTTTGTTGTGTACGGCCACCAATGCCACTCCACACGAGCGGATGTTTCATCACAATCGAAAATCCGCAGTCGGTACGTCCTTGCCACAGTGGTAGCTTTCGCCAGGACCAGTTCTGATGCGGCGAAACACACGATCTTCAAAGTACGACCCCCTAGTCGAAGAGGTTGAGCTCCTGGAATGTAACCCTGAGTACGCATATGTCAGACACCCTAACAGTCTCCCTACGTCACCTGGCCCCTTCAGCAGATTTCGGATGTGCTCCAGCATCCGAACAGCAGCAACCGCAGTCCAACACTGATTCATTTATTAAGCTGGAACTATCTGACTCTGCTTCGGAAAGTGAAATGTCGAATTCTTCTGAACACCCATTGGTTATACAACAACAGCGGACACGGCCGTATGTCCTGCGCAACAGAGAGGCCTGAAATTATTCAACTATAAATCAAACTCTTGAGAACTTTCATCTCTGCGGGGGGGTGAATGTTGTATATTTGCTCTGTTTTTCAAACGTTTTATCATTTATTGCTAAATCACTTTCTTCCGTTTTCAGCTCTCAGTGTCAAAGTTTTGGATGAATAAAGCATAGCTTTCGGGCCCACAGTCTTTTCCATTGTCATTCTGATTGTCGTTGCACTCCGACCCTCGCTGTACACAAGTGTAACCTTATTTCAATCATCCCTAGGAGCCTACACCTCAAGACATACAATCGGGCAACACGAATGTCATTGACACCTTTGTGTTCGCAGAATTCCAGACGTGCGAGAGTATACGGAGAGCTCTCCAAAAGCTTCCGTACACAAAGTGGTATCCTCAGGTATGCTCACACTCTTCATCCCTGCTGAAATTCGTGATTGATGAAATCATGAGACGAACGCAGGAAGGTTTCCAAAACCATGGTATTCAAATAGCCTGTGAAGAAAACCTAACCGATCTGAAGTACGCAGGCGATATCGCTCTCATGTTCAAAGAGGAGGAGGAGAAGGCGAAGTTGTTATTTGACAAACTAACCAAAACCATCCTGTCCTTTGGCATGCACTTTGCACCCACAAATTGTAAGGTCATGCTCGTGGACGCGCAGTCACTGAACGCACCACTTACAATCCAGGGAGAGGTACTGCACTGCGAGTTGCGTTTTATGTCTTTACCTTGGAAGTTGTATTGGTTCCAACTGTAGTGTGATGGATGAGGTCAATGCACGAATCTGCAAGGCAAGGCGCGCGTCTGCTAATTTGAGACACCTATGGCACCAGAGTGGTGTATCTCTGAATCTTAAGGGACGTGTGTATCAAGCTACAGTGTGGGCTGTTTTGTTGTATGAATATGAGACTTGGTCTGTTCGGGCAGCGGAACTGAGACGTCTTCAGGTGTTCGACAATCGTTGTCTTAGAACCACAGCTTGTGTGTGTTGGTGTCGGCATATCCGTAACGAAGCAGTTGGAACAGGAGTTTTCGGCTTTGCAACGGGTACTTCTATTGAAGGACGTGTCAAGCACCAGAAGTTGAGTTGGGTGGGACATGCGTTGCGTATATTGAACCATTTTTTGCCGAAGGGAGTATTGTACTCCACACCCCGTTCGGAGTGGCGTAAGCAGAGACGTGTCCAACCCTTGACTTGTCAGAGGGGCACGAAGATGATTGCAAAGCGTTTGGGTGCTGTCGATGCTTGATTAGGGTTCTCAACCAAAGCCTTTGGCTCAAAAGCCTGACCACAAGGCAGTGGTGTTTGGTGGAAAATGCAAACGATCGTACCCTGAATGGCATCAGCGCTCTAAAGTTTGCATATGTAGAGGGCATACCAAACAATGATGCAGAGTTATTTAGACTATTTGATACTGCTTACATTTCGACCGGGTAAGATCCAAGAACAGCTCTGTCGTCAGCTGCTCGATATATGTAAGCACATACACAGCGAGAATTTCGACCCCATAGAGAGTAGAGACTAGCAGCGAATCATCCATGATTAAATTAATCGGATAATTGAAAAGAGGAGTGGAGGAAGGCCTTGCTTGATACCACTGGGCGTAGTGAACTCAAGCGGAGGCGTACCGTAGAACTTCACTGGTCCAAGGGGAGTTGGCGTAGAGCACATTAACCGAAGCTCAGAATTCATGGAGGCGCCTTTGCTACAGACATTGCCATAGTACCCGACAAGCAAGAGTCCAAAAAAATTCCAAGTCAGCTCCCGAGTCGAGATTACCAGTGTTGGTTTGTAGACGTCGTACCACTGTTTCATAATCTGTCCGAGAACAAATATGACCTATGCATCCTCGTGCAGGACGGAATTAGGCTCGGTTTTCGCGGAAGCCACATCTACCAGGTTGATGCCACGATAGATTTCACACAGCGTTCATGTACCCACTTTGAGGAGATTTGGAATATCCCTCATTCTGCTAATACTCGATCTTTGCTCCATATAAAACTAATATCTGTTAGGTAAGCAACCAGATATTATTCGCCTTCTTTGAAGAGGGCTGGATAGGAACCGTCATGTGCTCTCTTGCGATTTAGATGAGATCTCGTTTTCTTCCTCTTCTGACAGGCGGTTAAGATATGTATTCCATTCGCCCAAAGACGATGTCTACAGATGTGGTGCAATCTTTCGAATGAGGAACTGAGCCTCTTTCCTCACTTGTGGCTTCAGAATTTACCTTCCTATGGGCCAGACAATGGAATTAAGTGGCACTTTGCAACGGGTACTTCTATTGAAGGACGTGTCAAGCACCAGAAGTTGAGTTGGGTGGGACATGCGTTGCGTATATTGAACCATTTTTTGCCGAAGGGAGTATTGTACTCCACACCCCGTTCGGAGTGGCGTAAGCAGAGACGTGAACCAACCCTTGACTTGTCAGAGGGGCACGAAGATGATTGCAAAGCGTTTGGGTGCTGTCGATGCTCGATTAGGGTTCTCAACCAAAGCCTTTGGCTCAAAAGCCTGACCACAAGGCAGTGGTGTTTGGTGGAAAATGCAAACGATCGTACCCTGAATGGCATCAGCGCTCTAAAGTTTGCATATGTAGAGGGCATACCAAACAATGATGCAGAGTTATTTAGACTATTTGATACTGCTTACATTTCGACCGGGTAAGATCCAAGAACAGCTCTGTCGTCAGCTGCTCGATATATGTAAGCACATACACAGCGAGAATTTCGACCCCATGGAGAGTAGAGACTAGCAGCGAATCATCCATGATTAAATTATTCGGAAAATTGAAAAGAGGAGTGGAGGAAAGCCTTGCTTGATACCACTGGGCGTAGTGAACTCAAGCGGAGGCGTACCGTAGAACTTCACTGGTCCAAGGGGAGTTGGCGTAGAGCACATTAACCGAAGCTCAGAATTCATGGAGGCGCCTTTGCTACAGACATTGCCATAGTACCCGACAAGCAAGAGTCCAAAAAAATTCCAAGTCAGCTCCCGAGTCGAGATTACCAGTGTTGGTTTGTAGACGTCGTACCACTGTTTCATAATCTGTCCGAGAACAAATATGACCTATGCATCCTCGTGCAGGACGGAATTAGGCTCGGTTTTCGCGGAAGCCACATCTACCAGGTTGATGCCACGATAGATTTCACACAGCGTTCATGTACCCACTTTGAGGAGATTTGGAATATCCCTCATTCTGCTAATACTCGATCTTTGCTCCATATAAAACTAATATCTGTTAGGTAAGCAACCAGATATTATTCGCCTTCTTTGAAGAGGGCTGGATAGGAACCGTCATGTGCTCTCTTGCGATTTAGATGAGATCTCGTTTTCTTCCTCTTCTGACAGGCGGTTAAGATATGTATTCCATTCGCCCAAAGACGATGTCTACAGATGTGGTGCAATCTTTCGAATGAGGAACTGAGCCTCTTTCCTCACTTGTGGCTTCAGAATTTACCTTCCTATGGGCCAGACAATGGAATTAAGTGGCAAAGGGCACGATGTCTTTCGCTGGTTTTATCCATCTCCTGAGGTTCTTCGTCCGCCAGAGCAAACGACCGTTCATTGAACTCCTCAATATTTGGTGCTTAAGGGATTTGCACGCGTCGCCGTACGCGTTGGCCGCTGGTATGGATATCCTAACACCAACCAGGACTAGCGGTCTGCTGGTCATTTGACCATATCAGTAAAGTCAGACAGAGCTCTGAACGCCATCAGCGAGGCTTCTTTTGCAATATCCATGTTCCATCCAAGTGCTTATTACCAGTACCCTACTGAGTGGTTGAGTTACTAATGGATTATGGCAGTGAAGCATCAGTGGCAACACTGATGTTGCTGTCTTTGATGATGATGATGATGATGATGGATTATGGTAGTTCTCCAATGATAAAATTGCCTGGGCCTAATGGAAAGGAAACTGGCAGGCGTATTCGCATAATGGCATGATGAGAATCTAAGTGCGCGCCTAGGAAGCAGCGGTGGTTTCTCCACCGGTAACTGATTACCAATTGATCCAAGTGGGTCGACGGTTGAGCTGCATGTGATGGTCGACAGGTCACACGGATCTACTGGCCATAAAAAGATTATGACCAGCATGCCTCACCGATGGAAGCTTTAAGATGAGGAAACCATAAAAGGGGTGGAATTTGCTAAGGTGATCCTGAGAAAGCTGTCCACCATACTGATTGAAATTTGCCTTAACTTGGCAGTGATGACAGCCTTTAGATTACCCTAAATATTAACTACTTTTACTGTGAAGAAATGCCATCAGTCTCGAGTGAAATAATTTATTTTCAACTTGAGGCTGTTCCCCTGAGTTGTGAGTCAGGCGGTACCGAGTAAATCTATGGCGTAATTCAAGATAAATCCAGTGTAGACCTGGATGAATGTATAGGACAGACATTTGACGCAGGTACTAACTATCCGCTGGATTGAGACTTCTCACTTGTCTGCTCTAATTAAGTGATGGTGGGCCCATGTTTGGCGGCAGCTTTGGTTTTGACCTAATGATGACTCACTGGGTTCGACAGTTCTGTTGATGACGGCACTCGGTGCATTTTGATGGAACTAAGTTGTCTTCGTTTCAGAAGAGGCTTTGGAAAGTGCCCTGGAGAGTCAGAAGACAAAGGCGGAGAAATCAGAGGTTAGCAGGGCTCTCAGGAAAGAGCATGACGCGCGGGTCAATTATCACTATCATGATCGATAGCATGCTAGTGCCATACAAACGCAATTCATCTTTCAGCTGAAGCAACCTTTCGGTGCCTAACTGCCATGCCACCCAAAGGAAGCACGAGGGATGGGATACTGTCAAATTTCCCAAGCCTAGACAGGGTAAGTCGAGAGACAGAAGTCGGGTTCGAACCGGAAGTTCGGTCAGTAAGTTCGTGCTCCAACCTCTAAGCCATCTCGCCCCCAAACGCAATTCATGTGACAACCGCATTTCTACATAGCAGAAGATGGCAGGGAAGTAGTGCTACCCTACTACGGTCGTTAAAAGTTGCCTACATCTCCAGATACTCATTCAGAAAACTCAAACAGAAAGCTTAAGGAAGCCATTAAAATCGAGTAGCAGCCACAGTTGAAAGTGCTGCTAACCATAGACAACATGAACAACGTAGAGTGCATCCCTGGGGGCGCGTGGGACCGACAGTGTCCAGACTCAATAATCGCGATCACATTTTTCTGCTCGGCCAAAATTTGACTACCCTCTCAGAAAGTAGCACTCTTCTCGGCAGACGATGACTTAATAAGAAAGGACCGAAACACCACAGCCTTTGGTGCCAAGAACTTTACTAAGGTTTCCGTTATACAGGCGATTTGTTGGCACCAATCTACACCTACTGTACTTCTGAAACAACAGTCTTCGAACACCTCACGGAGTCTCAGTTCCGCTACTTGCAGAGGGGGTCACAACTGCACAACACAATAGCACCGAAGCCCGGTATGCACCTCTCTTGAACCTCAGAAACATGCCGCTTTGTGTCAACCTACCAGACGTAGTCCGAACCTTAAAGGCATGTGCGCTAACCTCATGTCACGCCAAATTCGTGGCTTGGACAATTTCCAAAATAGGTAAGACGCCCCAACGCTTCCTCCACAGGCAGGACCTTTTATCTTGGGAGTGCAGACCGAATGTCAAGGGACAGAATGGCTTTTGGCAGTGACTGTTTTCTCCTTCGAAGGCGAAAAGAATACCGTCTGTGTTCCCGATCAACAAAGCGTGCGTTGGAAACAAAGCGTCTTCCAAGGTCTCCATCACATTACCTGGTCAAAACCGAAAGCTAGTAGAAATGGAAAAAGCGAACATCCTGGCCTGATACTATTGTTAGTAGCAAGGCTTTCAGAGAGTTCTCCATATACTCTATTGAAGCCTGAAAGACCCGCTGAAAAACTGACAGTACAGAAACCATCAAATCCACCAATCTCCAGGATAACACTTGATCAGCATGTGTACTAAACATGTGAGACTAACCACCTTGGAAACCTAGCAATACGTACAAAGATATCGCCCACGTGAAACTTAATCCATCTAGACCGACTACTCAAACTAATGATGCTTGCGGAATCGGAACCAGAACGTACATTCCACGTGGAAGGTCATGCCTTGCAGTGTTGAATCGGAAACACAGGAAGACGTCCAAATAATGCCAATAGATTAACTTACTTGACGCGACTCCTCGGCTAGGTCTACCTTGTTGCCCACCAATATTATACAGATATTAGGGAGTGCCAAATCACGGACGGATGATATCCACTTTCTGACTGAATTAAAAGATCCTCGATCGTTGACATCGTACACTACCAGAGCACCAGCGGCTCCACGGTAATAAGAACGGGTTACACATTGAAACCTCTCCTGACCTATGGCAAACAAAATAATCGAGGAAAGCATAATACCGGCGGTGTCCCAGATTTGTAGTTTAACTGGTTTCCCGTCTACCTGAACTACTTTGGTCCCAAATTCAACACCTATAGTGTGTAACGATTCTTCTTTGAAATTTCCAGCCAAAAACCATCGAAGGAGACAGGTTTTCCCGGTAGCAGCATCACCGACAATTAGAAACTTCAAAAGATGCGTATACGTTTCCATAATAATACGTAGACGAGAAGAAAGTGATAACTACATCAAGAATGTCACGCCCCGGAGAACTGGGCGAGCCACAGTGGGATCGTTCACGGAGTTTGCAAGTGTAGTATGCACACTGGTAGCACCAGGGGGACAGTGATTCACCAAAGGTAGCTAGTGGTTCCCGACAATTTCTGTGGATGGAAAACGGAAAGAAAGACCATGAGCCCGGTAAGCAGGGTTCTACAGTACCAAAAGTTACATATAAATTAATCAAACTGGCAGATACCGTATACTGCACAACACCACGTCAAATCAAGGGGTGTGCGAGAAACGGACCGTTCTTAGTGGCTGATCTGTGATCAATAGCAGTGACCTTGAGCAGGAAGGCACATCGAGAGAGCCGAAGGCTGGTGAACTCAGATCGCCAGACATCGTGTCTGGACGCAGGTTCATATGGTGGTTAACATGAAAGAAACGTTAGTGTCTCACTCCCTGACATGACAGAAGGCGGGTAGAACGCATATCTGGAGATAAATAAACGCTATATAGACATCGAGTGCAAATAAATGTAGGTCATCAACATATACTAAGATGTGGGTAAAAACGTAGAAAGTAATGAGTGAATTCGAATTTTTAGTTCCTGGTGGTTGGATAACAGATGCATTCGGGTAGAGAGAATGGATACGGCCGTAACCTACCGATCGGTCGTTTAAATCCGTTGAATGAGTTGGTAGACGCTACGATCTCGGGCAGCTTATTTAACAAAAAAGCACTATAGATGAGAAGAAATTACTGTGAGATGGCGGCGTAGACCATTGAGGGAGCAGCTTGTTCTAGCGGTCACGCATTTGGAATTTGGTAGTGATCGTGGAAAAAACGACATGACTTCGCACGATAAGGTAATTTCACGGCTAATGACGGCTCTTCATAACCAACTGTACGCACCATCACTCATCTTGGCAATTCACGGTCATCAATAAGTTCGTACCGATGCGTGCCGCTGGTTATGAATAATCAACCATCCATGATTGCCCAATCTAGCCGAAAACGACTGTCACCAGCATCCATAACTGTATATTTGTCGCTTACCGCGCGCATTCTTGCAGTCACCGATTATTTGGCCCCATTTATGCACGATAACGTAATCAAAAGGCCAATGACAGTCATTTACGCCTTGTTGTGCGCCTTGTTATTCACTTAGGCCACTCACTGTAAACAATAGACTCGCCTCTGGTTATGAATCCTCAACTATACATGATAGCCTACTCCAACGCTCGAAGATATTCATTATCAAAACCGTGTGCGACAAAGCTCTGACATGCCCGCGCTTGAGGAGGGTAAAACCATCATTGGTGAAATGTTTTATTTATTTGACTGCCTTCGGCAGCCATGATGCGCAGCCATACCGTTTCGCTTTCTGTGAACCAGTTTCACTTGAGGATGATCTGAAATGAGAAATATTTGCTTAATTTAATCCCCTTTATGTGTTTGGTAAGATTTTTCAGACGTTCCACAGTTTTAGGGGTAGATTTACTCACATACTAAATTTGTCCCGCTGTCAATAATGCAAGATCGTTGTGTAACTCGATGTTCTAAGTGGGCACCGTAAGTTTCACTTCACCCCGTTGTCCCAGGAAAAAATAGCCCTTAGCCCACGTCCACGTAATATACATCGGCACAATTCAACTAATTCCGCCTTTGTCGTCTACGTGGTTGATAGTCCCCGAGTACCCATAAACTTTCTTAATATTGCGCCTTGCCCGTCCATCCACATTCGTCCCAACCTTTTGGCCTTTAAGTCACCACCAGGATTCATGCTTCTATCAGCTATTTTCATACCCTGTCTACATCTCTTATCTCTAAAGATGCAGAAAACATGGTTTAGAACTCTCCTTCCGAATGCATGCCCTTCTCCAAATGAACTTCCCCATCCCGTGTTTAACCTCGCCCTCCACCTTTCGTAGCGGAGAAAGAGGGAAAATAATGGGACACCGGCGCCGCCGGCCTAAGATTCCCCTGGTAGTAGCCGGTACCCAGGGAAATTGTCCCATGAATCTAAAACATCAATTAAAACATAATAAAATGCTTTCACATGTGTATTTTAAAAGAAACTCACTAAATCCACTCATTTTACCTCCTTTGATGCCACTCCCTTCAAGAATCCTCTTAGCTTGTCCTTGGACTGCTCTCAACTAATGGACGAGCCAGCATCGATAACATACCATCATCCTCCAATACCCCCACCAAAATGCCGATTATCATTTTTCAAATCGGGTGGCGTTGTGGTGGTTAGAATTTGTAGTCACGTTTAGGCGCCTGCCATTTCTGGCCGCACTCCAACTTACGCCCATGCCCCCCAGCAGCGACAGACAATCCTGTGCTCTGAATGGGCCAAAGAATATCCTTGATCCATCCTTATCTAAAATATTCACAATTCCTTGAACTTTCCTAACTGCGTTGACACCCCCAGCTGTCTCATCCGAAACTTCCTGTACGATCCTGTCCATGGGCCCAACTACGGTGTCATGACGGCGGTTTCAAGACTGCTAAATTCAGTCGGACATCTTACCCGCAGCTCACTATATTTCTACGACCACCAGGCAAGGCATGATACGAACGCCCAGAAAACCGAATTTGTGTCAGAACTCCGAAGTATCGGTCGCCCTACTGTACTGTCTCCCCTTGCCATCCATAAATCCACTTATTTTAATAATATCACTATCAAGAGGTTAGTATACTGGTGAAAAGGAACTATGTCGTGCACTCTATACAGCATGCGCGATCACAAAGAATTCACCAAATTTTCAAGATGCGGCACATTCCTTGCCTTTGTTCAGTGGGCAGACTTCTGAAACGACGGGAAACCTTTTCCTAATTTAGCCATTCAATTTTGGGTTAGCGCGGACGAAGACGACGTCATTGTTCTTTGTGTGTGCCTACAAACTATTTCCAAATCCAGTAGAGGAGAAAACTTGTCAAGAAATCATTTCCCCCACGAAGTCCCCCGCCCTATTCACGGGACACCATAATGGGCCATAGCACAAGTTAAAAATACGAATTGCAACAAGGCAAAATTGTAAGAGTGAACCTACAGATATTTTCCAAGTTTGATGATCACCGTTCAGACGTTAAGTGACTTGATTCCGGTTAAGCCCAACTTACTGGCAAAGGTGTAATATGCTGTAATTTGTCGTAGGTTAATGTTTGCCCACACAATCAAATAGCTTCGTAATTTGTTTTTTGCTATCGCTTACTTCATACTGCATAGATTTGCGATGACTTACTATAGGATTATGATGGCAAGTTATTAAATATCTCATGAGAAGTGCTATAAATGCAGTTGCCCGAGTTTTGTTATGCGGACCACCCAAAGCGTTACGCACCTTGTGCCCTGCAATACTACACTGCATGTTAACATGGCTTGCTAGCAGTTGGTTGATCAAGGTATAACTTCTGTTGGGTTTGACTAGAGTTCTAGTAGCGCTATTTTGGATGAAAGATATGGACATATTTATCGGCATGTTTTTCTTAAGCATCAGGCCATACAGCCATCCACAAATAATGCAGAGGTGTTAATAATCACAAGTCCGACGAACGGTTTACGACTACTTTTCGACGATCAACCATACTCTCACATAAGACACGTTGATTGCCGCTAGCACTGTGCAACATAAGGCTCGATGACCAGTCTCTAACAACGAGAAAGCCCTTCGTCTTTCACGGTAGTTAGTTGTGTGAGCACCCTATTCCCTGAACTCGACCGTATCTCTATCATGTTGCAGTGTAATTAGCGTTGCAGAGAGACATCAGCAACAAGATTATCACCGCTTGCTATTTTATCTTCCTTGCTTGAGCGGCTTTCGCTTGTTGTATCTGGCCAACCAATCAAATGTTTTAGACGACATCCAAAATTGAGCGCCAAAAACAATAGTAGCCGCAAATAATAAAATATAAAAAGTTTCTATGGTAAGTAATTGACAAAAGCACAGTGCGCTACAGTGCCGATGCTCGTCAAGTAATCAAGCCTTGCTTCATTTTGATGGCACGTCCTGACAATTCTAATGCTACTGTAATTCCAAGAAGTGTAGCGATATTAAGCACATTGTGCGTCCCCCATAGCGCTGTAATTAGTTATTCGTTTTAAATGGCGCTAGCTTGCTTTTTCATCAACCATGGCTAACGTTCCGTGCATAAAATGTGCATTTCTGGCTAGTATGCCACCTTGGCAATAGATCGTCTCATTCCAAATTGGCCTCTCATTCCTACTGAGCAGCATTCACTAACTAGAACGTTTGGGCATCAACTAGGATCTTTTGAGCCGCGAACAATAACGACCGCGTTGCTAGATTTTACGATGCCCTCATTGAAATCCGTTTTATCTGCCGTGTTTGGCATTCTATTAAAAGAGGCTAATCGACGTGTTATGCTTCTAATTCGGATCAAACTCTGTGCGTCAATGTTTCGCTTCATGGCTCTTTGGTGCGTCTGTAACGCCTTACGAAGCTGTGCCCCGTTGCGTGTCATGCATAAATTTTGCTCGGCGTAGTCATTTGATATCCTGTAGAAACTTGCCACGTTTGTGCGCAACGCCCGACATATGTATATTGGTTAAACTGGAACTCACCTAAAAAAGAAAATGTAGATACAAAATCCTAAGACGAACCTATTGTTCATCAGCAGAATATGAGCCACATTTAGTCAAGGCTTCATCAAATAAATCCTAACCTTCAAGACAACAGGATTAATACAAAATGTGCAAATGTTCTGCACAATTTTGTGGCTCACCTCGCATTTATTCACGTGACTGTTTTTCACAAGCTACATTTATCTTCAACAATATTGCAGTTTGATGGATTTTTGCCCTGTAATTCCCCGGACACTGATGGGCTGACCGCACCAGGAACGCTTGAAAGGCATAATTTGGAAAAGGAATATTGGGCTGTTTTAGCTTTGGAGAGAAATACCTTGAGTACCGCAGTGGCCCAAAAATGATCTGAAATCTATTTGAGACCCCATTATTTGAACGACCAAAGTTGGGGAACACTACGGTCTTAGTAAGCGCATAGATATGGATATGATAACGTAAACAGTGTACAGACGGATGTGAGCACAGCTGTTTTGTGATGAAGTTGTAAAACCAGCTGAGAAATTTTGATGCAAAATGCTGCGCCTCCTCCCCCTTGAACAAATGCTAAAACATTCCCTAGGGGCGCAAAAGTCCTGGTGCTGGAAGAACTGTGACCGCTACAATTACAGAAAGCGGTGCAATCATTTCATTGCATTAAAGCAATTCGCACT